GCTGGAGATACCTGCCGTAAGGTAAGCTCTCGCTGGAGATACCTGCAGTAAGGTAAGCTCTCGCTGGAGATACCTGCCGTAAGGTAAGCTCTCGCTGGAGATACCTGCTGTAAGGTAAGCTCTCGCTGGAGATACCTGCTGGTCCTCAGCTGCTTCTCAGGTTCTACACGTTGAGGATTATTTATTGTCCGTAGGTTATTTTCTGAGCTCTCAGCCCAGGTCTACAATATGTTCACAAGTATGTGAAGCCAGCCAAGCATTTCTAACCTTGGAAATGACCTCAAAAATCGAAGGTACGGCTTCATGCTGATTTTCTAATTGTCACACGTGACAGGGGACACAATAGATATGGCGCCATGCTGATACATTTAATCACACTGCAGGCAATTCACAGACACTGAATCTCCTAAAGTGCATGTGCCTGAGAGAGGACCTTAGGGAAGCCCATGCAGACACGGGGAGAAAATGGGAACCCCTTCTGTCACAGAGCCAGAGCAGGACTCGAACCCAAAACCCAGCGGGAGCAGGCCTCACGTCTGAGTTCTTAGCCTTAGCACCTAACACTCCTCGGTCTGGATGTGGAAGCCTGCGGTTGTCAGAAAAATCACGTGACGACGGCACAGCCGTGGGAGACCGGCGCAGCGCATGCGATGCCTTGCAAATGAGTCGTATCACATGCGACCTTGATGATAATCTACAGCCACATGCTGGCGAGGCCTGCAAATCAAGGGTGATTGGCGTTACGCTTTTTCACTGATTTGTGCGATTGTTCAGCTGTTTTAATTTACATCTCAGGAATTCCTGTTATTAAGGAAGAACATGCATTTATTTGCATTAAATTATGAGTGCTGTTCAGTGGTTTATTATGAATATTATATTATATATTATGTTGTACCTAAAACTATCCAACTTCTAACTACTTATCCTACTTTTTGGTTGCATGGTCCCACCTATGCTTTTGGGAAGCGCCCCCCAGGTCAGGATCATGCACACACTAGTAGGACTTTGGGAACTGAGCTACCCTCCCTGTTGGTCCTTCAGCTCTGAGAGGGAAGTTGGTGATATGGGGAGAACACGCAGGCAGCGTTCCTGTGTTTTCATTCAATCTCATTAAAATCAGATACTCTTAATAACC